ATATATATATATATATATATTCAAAAACAAAACTTATAAAATAAAAAGAGATTGAAGTAGAAAAAAATAAAAACAAATTAATAATTTAAATAATTTGTGTAGTTTTTATTTTTGTTTCTTTCGAGTTGCATTTATTAAATAAGGCGAAGCAAAAAAAAAACATTTTGAAGTCTACAATAAAAAGGATGATTTTCCTTTTCTTAATTTTTTTTTTTAAGGATAGCAAAAATACAAATTGCGATGTGTTTGTAAAATTTATTTGTATAATTTTAATGTAACATCAAGGGTTGAATTAAGCGAATGCAAAATGCTAAATCTAGAAAAATATCAAGTAATCAAAATTTTAGTTTATACAAAACTGTGTTCCTTGTTTTTAAGGGGAGAATCAACTTAAATTTTTTAGCGAAAAAATAAAAAATAAACTTACGATTACAAAAGTAACAACACTCTAGTCACTAACTGCATTACAAAAGTAATAACACTATAATAGTGTTATTACTTTTATAACGCACTTAAAACTTTTAAAATTCATTCTTTGTTCAAGCAACATTAGTATCCCCAAATTTTAATTAAAGTAGAAAAATATCTAGAAGAATAAAGTGGATGTTTAAATGATATTAAAACTAAAGTAACTTATAAAAACGCGACAAACAACTTTATGAAAACGTATCGTATTAAAAGTTAAGCATTATGAAAAACGTTACTAATGGACCGTAAAAACGCGCGTTAATTTTAAAATTAACCAATAAAAATTTTTTATTGGTTGATTTTAAAAATTAACGCGCGTTTTTACGTAATGTTTTTTATAATGCTATACTTTGCTATTGCTAATGCTATTTTATAACGTTGTTTAAGTGATATGTGAAAGTTCCTGAAATTTTTAATCATATTTGAATATCCGCTTTATTTTTTCTAGATGCTTTTCTACTTTAATAAATGTTGGAATTAATAATGTTGTTTGAACAAAAAATGAACTTTAAAAGTAATAAGTGCTTTATAAATGTAATAACACTATTATAGTTTTATTACTTTTATAATGCAGTTAGTGAATAAAGTGTTATTACTTTTGTAGTCGTAAGTTTATTGTTTTTGTAACATTCTCGCTAGCAAACTTTTAATAATTTGCTCCTTATAAACAAAGTACACAGCTTTGCATGAACTAAAATTTTAAAGACCTAATATTTTACCAGATTTTGCAAACGTGATCGTATAATATAACTCTTGATATAAACTTGTAACATTATAAATATACAAATATATTTTACAAACAGATGGCGATACATATTTTCTCTTTCGTCTTTGAAAGAAAAAACACATAAAATATGGGAAAGTCATCCTTTTTAACGCCTAAAACCTTTTTTTTTTAATTGTATTTTTTTTGCTTTGACTTTATGAATTTTGTTGCCGATAATAATAACCACTAAGAAAAAAACAAAAATAAAAACGACACAAATTATTTAAACTATTATTATTGTTTTCTATTTAAGTTTAATTTAATTTCTTATGCAGTTATTAAATTTAACACAATTTTTCAGTAACGCATATAATATAACTTGCGCAAACAGCAGTGATCACGTTCTCTAACTTGAAAAACGTTTTCGTGGTTGTACGAGAAAAAAAACCGCACACCTTTCCTGGGAAGGCTTGATATATATATATATAATATATATATTTTGGTTTTTATTTTAATGATTTTTAATATATGGCTGAATGATTGCCGAATGGCATGAAACTTGATGTCCCAAAAAAAAAGTCGTATTTTTTTCATTTAAATATTTAATATATATGTATATATATATATATATATATATATATATATATATATATATATATATATATATATATATATATATATATATATATATATATATATATATAGTACAAAAATTTCAGTACAAAAATTAACTTACGGTTTAGCACCGCTGAATAAAATAAACTTTGATTTATCAGAGGAAAGGACTTTTGACCAGTTAATAACTTTTCAACTAAGATAGTCCTTTGCAAGTTTTATTCTGGCTTTTAAATTTCTTGCAAATATTAGCAGTTTTTTGACTGGACAGCGGCCAGCGGTTGGTGATACTTTTTGTGTCATGAAACTGATGCATAATTGAATTAAGTTCAATTGCAGTCTTGCGAGTTGCATCTGCAAACTCTATTTAGGAGAACTTTCCTACTTTTTCTAGTCTGAAACGTGTCTGGATTAAAGTATTTGAAAAATTAGATCAAAATATATTCAATGTGAAATCCAAAGTTTTTTAGACAATGAAGAAAAAAATGAATAGTAATAAAAAAAAAAATTTGTCATTAAATATCCTTCAGATCTAGACTACCTACCATACAATACTACCAAACATACAATAACTGTGTGTACTACAGCATTTTCAGATTGTTATTTTAATATAATGTCATCAGTGGCTTTTCATAGTTAGTATGCCAAAATATTTATTTTTCTTTTCAAATTATATATAATTATTTTTTCTAGTTTATTTATGTTTGTTTATATTCTAGAGGTCATAAAGATGTTATCTACAATTTGGAGTGGAACCCGTATGAAGTAAATAAATTTGCTTCAGTAGGGGTAAAGCATATTAAGTTTTGGACAATTGTTGGTAGGTTTTTTATTTTTTTTAGTGCTTTTTAAATATATCTTTGTTTTTAAAAGTTATACAAATAAAAAAATTTAGGTTTAAAGTAGGGCACAATTGCAATTTATGGAATCACTTGAACCATTTACCTATAGAGTGTTAATCTTTTTTGATGACATTGTTAATATAGATTTCTAATATATAACTAATTTGTGTAAGATGTGGTCCGTGTTTTTAGTTATAAAGCTTCAATTTAAAACCTTTAGCCTAGAAAGTATTTAATTTTTACTTTTCAGTCCATAAAAAATATTTAACTTTAAAAAAAATTTCAAGTTTTATTAAACTTTAGCCCTAATTTGTTTTAAAGTTGGAACAATTTAGATTCAAGAAAGTACAAAAAAACAAAAACAAAAACAAAAAAGTTTTAATAGGTAGAAGAAAATAAAAATATTTTCTCTATAAAATTAAATGTTTAAATTGCTGTTTTCTAGATAGAAAAATTGAAAAACGAACTACAAATTGTGGAAAGCCAGGTGAGCTAACTGATATGTTGTGCATATGCCATTCTCCCCAAGAAGATTTGTGTTACACTGGTGCTGCTTCTGGTGAAATATATGTATGGCAGGGTAGTACATACAGAAAAGCTATACCGGCACACAAAGGACCTGTTTATGCTATTTTTGCAATTCTTCAATCAAAAGATAAGGTTAACTTTTGTTTATAAATATTTTATTATTATTGCCACTCTATTGATTTTGATTCTACTTCTTTATTTGAATATAAGTTTGTTTGAATGTAAGCATGTATTTTATAATATTTTCTTCATTATTTAATTTTTGTTGTTTTAATTTTTATTGTCTAATTTTTATTGTTGCTCAACAATTCGATTCTTAAGATTCTATTCATAAGTTCATAAAATATATCTGGTATATATATTTTTTTTAAATTGATGAAGTTTAATAAAAATATAATTCTATTGGATGTATCAGGGTTTTGTGTCTGGTGGAAAAGATGGCGTTGTTGTGGTATGGGATGAAATGTTTAGCCAAGCATTACGTGCTTTTAAGATAGAAACTTCACAATTTCCTCCAGGTACAATTCTTCTCCGTGACTGTCCTGAAGTACGATCAATTCATACAGATGAAGGAAATATTCTTGTAGGCACTGGGTCTGATGAAATAATACAAATACATTATGATGGTTCTATGGAAATGATTCTCCAGGTTTGTCTTTAATTGATTGATTTATTTTAGTAATTTTAGTAATAAAAGTTATTATACAAAAAACAGTGTTTGAATTGAATAGTTTTTACAAAACTGTAAGTAGACTCTTTCCAACAGAAAGTAGAGTTTTTTGTTTTTTTTTTGTCTTTTTTTACACTTTTATTACTAATCAAAATGCTGAAATAAAATTAGAATGGAGAAAAGTGTTTAAAAAGTAAAACAACAACAATAGAATGAATAGAATGGGATTATTTCCATTCTATTCTGAATGAGAGTCGTAATTTCAATAAAGACGATAAAGAAAACTCTTAGTATTCAATAAATAATTTTTTTTTGTTTTATATTTAAAAACTAGGCTAAAAAGTTAAAATAAAAATTCTGGTAAAACCTAATAAGGTACCTAGCGAATTCAATTTAAATAATCTTGTGCGTAAGTTTTTATTAAGTTATTTTATTAAGTTAAATTTACTTTTAAATAAATTCTACAAAAATAAATCAAAAATCTTAATCATTTACTTTCAAAGTTAAAAAAAAAAAAAATCACAATTAAGAAGCTGTGTTATCTGAAACAAAAATACTTCAATCGATTTAAATACATACTTAAAAATGAAAGAATATCTTTAAATACAGCTTTTCAAAAGAAAAGCTGTACTTAAAGATACTCTTTCTTTCTTAAAACTAATAGGTTCAAGAGCAATAATAATGCAAGTTTGAAGTTTAAATAAACAATATCAATTGCCTGGTATAATATCTGGTTCTCATATTTAGAATTGTGATGACTGATTTCTGTTGTGAATATGGTTGCTCAGGCTCAATAGGCTGAGCAAATATAGCAGTTGAAGAGGTGTATAAAAGAGCACGATATATTTATTGAATGGTTAAAGGAAGTGTTTATACCAGAATGGTTTTTGTATTTTACATTTAGGTGGACTCACATCAGTTAAGCAGAAAATATTACTATGTTGTAAAAATAATATAATCTTGATTTGTCAACCAGCTCATCTTATATTTTACAGACATTGGAGGTAAATGCTTATTACCATGTTAAACAAATGCAAAAGGCAAGTTTTACAAAGTATTACAAGGAAACAAAATGCAAGAATTTAAATGGAAAATTTTTTTTCTTCAAGAATCAAACAGATGTATGAGAGTGGCAGCTGTTTTACACATTAGCAAGCTATTTCTGGTTTTTGATGGGTTATTTCCACTCAACAAAAACAACATCAATCAACAGACATCTCAGAATTGTTTAATCAACCCTATTGTCAATAGCCTTTACCATTATCTTCTGAACTAGCTACAGCAGCTTTAGGGTTTGACAAGTAAAAGGGCAACACAAGATAATGAAAAATGAAATGTAAATTGAAATTTTTTACTAACACTAAGGAAATAAAAATTTAATTTTTGCAATTTTACTATTTGTGGTATACAAAACAAAATTATGTATGGTTATAAAACAAAATTATGTATGGTTATAAAACAAAATGTATAGTTATAAAGATATTGTTAATTTGTAATTAAATAATAATTATAAGTTGGGTTTTTTTTGGCTTTAAACTAATAAATCTATTTTATAAAAATTAATTGTCTTAATATATAGTTAAAACTAACATCCTTTTTTATCTGTTTATTAGGTTATTTGTAATATATTATTTATAATAGGTTTTTTTTATTAGGTTATTCGTATTAGGCTATTTATATAAGGTTTTTTATAATAGCTTATTTATAATAGCTTATTTATAAAAGCTTATTTATAATAGCTTATTTATAATAGCTTATTTATATTAGGTTATTTATATTAGGTTATTTATAATAGGTTATTTATATTAGGTTATTTATAATAGGTTATTTATAATAGGTTATTTATAATAGGTTTTTTATATTAGGTTATTTATATTAGATTATTTATATTAAGTTATTTATAATAGCTTATTTATAATAGCTTATTTATAATAGCTTATTTATAATAGCTTATTTATATTAAGTTATTTATATTAGATTATTTATAATAGGTTATTTATATTAGGTTATTTATATTAGGTTATTTATAATAGCTTATTTCTAATAGCTTATTTCTAATAGCTTATTTATAATAGCTTATTTATAATAGCTTATTTATAATAGGTTGTTTATATTAAATTATTTATATTAGGTTATTTATAATAGGTTATTTATATTAGGTTATTTATATTAGGTTATTTATAATAGGTTATTTATATTAGGTTATTTATATTAGGTTATTTATAATAGGTTATTTATATTAGGTTATTTATAATTGGTTATTTATAATAATTGTGATGACTGATTTCTGTTGTGAATATGGTTGCTCAGGCTCAATAGGCTGAGCAAGTATAGCAGTTGAAGATGTGTATAAAAGAGCATGATACATTTATTGAATGGTTTGATACATAGCATGTTGAAGAGGTGTATAAAAGAGCATGATACATTTATTGAATGGTTAAAGGAAGTGTTTATAAATAAATAGTATAGTACATAAATTAGCGGCTTTACAGGTTGTAAAGCCGCTAATTTATGTACTAGTTTAAGTCATTATAAAACAAAATTATGTTTTATCAAATTATATAAGCCAAATCAATTGTATCAATGATATTCCTTGTTGTATTAGATTTTTGAAATACAAATCAATAAAACACAGTTACATGCTAACTTTAGCAACAAATAAACAAGCAAAAAAAACTTTTTTATTAAACCATTATTTTCTTTGTATTTTGATATTTTTTTATGTGTGTAAATTAAGGGACATGGGGAAGGAGAACTTTGGGGTCTTGCAGTCCATCCATTTGAATTCGAATGTGCAACTGTAAGTGACGATCAAACACTTAGGATTTGGAACCTTGGTGCACACATCATGAAAAAAGTAGCTGTATTAAAAAAAGGCGGCCGATGTGTTTGTTACCATCCCAATGGGGAGACTATGGCAGTTGGACTCAATGATGGTAAGTTTTATAATTCATGTCATCATGATTAGTAACTGATCTTGACTTGATTTTGGGCAAGGGCTAGAAGTCTATGTACCAATTAAATGTTTATTTAAAAAAAAGTTTTCTTTCAATTAGTTAAATTTTTATGTTGGCATGTGAGTGTTGCTTTTCCAAAACGTCATTTGTTTATTTAATAGAAAATATGATGCAGTACTGCACAAATATTTGTTTATTTATTAGAAAATATGATGCAGTGCTGCATAAATATTTGTTTATTTAATAGAAAATATGATGCAGTGCTGCACAAATATGTTTGTAATCCATAAACAATTTGACTTATAATTTATTAACAACTTTTATTTTAAAATGAATTAAAGATTTTTTTCGCATGAATTTTTTTTTTAATCAATTTAATCAATTTAATTTTTTTTTTCAAAAAATCAATGAAGAATAATTATTAAGTCCAAAAAGTTGAATAAAATACTAATATTGTTAACTAATAAAATACTAATATAGTTAACTAATTTTATTATTAATACAGTAATAAAATTAACTGAAAAATAGTTTTAAGATGTGTCGTTGATTAATATATTTTTGTGGCTCCAACATGTAGTGGTAAACAATTTCATTTATTTTTTATTAGTTTTTAAAGATAAGATTGTGGATCTTCTAAGTAATTTTAAATAGTATTTTTAAAAAAGTTTTATTTTATCTCTAATAACATTTATTAAAAGTATAAAGAACATTTTATTTTCAAATTTATTGTGGAGAGGATTTTCCTTACTTAAAAATTGTTGTGTAGAGGGTTTTCTTTACTTAAATTTTATTTTGAAGAGGGTTTTCTTTACTTAAATTTTATTGTGAAGAGGGTTTTCTTTACTTAAATTTTATTGTGAAGAGGGTTTTCTTTACTTAAATTTTATTGTGAAGAGGGTTTTCTTTACTTAAAATTTATTGTGGAGAAGTTTTTTCTTATTTAAATTTTTTCTCTGTTCCAAACTGATGCTTGTATTTATTCTAAAAAAATATTAGTAATGCTATTAAAAAGTAAATAAAAAATTTGTTACGGCTTAGGTTTTATTAATATTAATGAGGAGCTTGGACTATTAGATTGTGTCATGAGTACTACCTGTGCTTTAAGTCAAGTTTTTTAACCAACTTTAAAAATGACTAAAGTATCAAAAGTATAAAACACAAAAAACTATTGTCATCGCCAAGTTCTTTAAATCTATCATTCACTAATATCCGTGGCTTTTGAAGTAACTTTTCTTCTGTTGAGTCTTATCTCTTGCAAAGTTACCAAGACCTACTTGCTTTTTGTGATACTAATTGGAGTTCGGCTGTCTCATCTTGTGATCTTTGTGTTGATGGTTATCTTCCTTTAATTCATAAAGACTCCAATAATCACATGCTTAGCCTGTGATTATTTAATTCCTATTTAATGGGTGAATTTTTACATTTGTAAAAATTCACCCATTTAATAGTAATTAAATTTAATTTAATTCACCCATTCGTCAGGAAACTAGGTTTGAATCCACAAACTATTCTTTTATGTACTTTTCTTTAGCATCACTTTATCACCTTTCTCTTTGTTCTATATCACTCTCTATTTCAAGACTGCACTCTTTTCAATGTTATTTCTGATCTAATTGACCAAGCCTATTCTCCTTATCCTTCAGCCAATATCGTTGTTGTTGGTGACTTTAATGCTCATCACATTAAATAGCTTGATTCTAGTGTCAATGACTCTGCAGGCGTTAAGGCCCACAACTTTTGCCTTTCTCAATCCCTAACTCAAAAAAAAGACCTTTCTCAATCTTTAACACAAGTAATCAACTTTTCAACTTGCTTTCCAAACAATCCAAATCATTTATCTTCTCTACTTGACTTATGTCTTGTATTTGATCCTAGACAGTGCTCAGTTTCTCTACATGTACCCTTACGTACTTCTAATCATGGTTTGATTTCTCTAAAACTATTATCTCATTCTTCTTCATCGTCAGAATCAAACATTCAGAACAATCAAACAATCAGAATTAAATTGTACTTTAAACCTGGCTGGGTCTCTTTCCGTGTTTTTCTTTGTAATGGCCCTTACGTAGAAATCTTTCGTCTTCCTGCTGACAAATGTACTTCTTATGTAGTTACATAAGTATTAGGAATCATCTAGAGGCAATACTAAGAAACATACTAGAAATTTTCTAAGGGGAATAAAAGATTCCATGCAAGCCTGAATCCAAAAAGTTTCTTGGATTACGGTTTTGCATGGAATCTTTTATTCCCACTAGTCAAGCCTTACTCTTCTCAATGGTTTTTTTCGTTGTGCTGCAATTTCCAATCATAACCATTATTTCCATAACTATCATTAAAACAATTCTCCAAAAAAGTGACATCTGTTTGTCTAATGCCAAATCCCGCTATTTTCTGGTCACAAAATCTTGTATTTCATCTTAAAAATTAGGCTCTCGTGACATCTGGAAAATCTTCAACAGTATCTATAATAAGTGTAAATCTATTATTCCACCTCTCTTGTATGGTTCAGATTTTGTCACCTCACCTTAAGACAAAGCTGAATTGTTTGCTTAGAACTTCTCATCAATATCATCTGATTCTGAGTGGCGTTCTACCTGATATAGCCAACAAATAGGTCAATCCATTGCCTGACATTTGTATCACTCCAGCTTCTTTATCAAAAGTAATTTCCTGCTTTAAAATTTTCTACAGCTTGTGGTCCAGACAACATTTCAAGATCTGTACTTTCAATATATATAGGTCTATACTTTCAAAACTATTTAACAAATGCTTATCAGAGACTTGTTTTTCAGCCTGCTGGAAAGCGGCATCTGTTATCCTTATTTTCAAAAATTCTGAAGAGTGTTCTGACTTGTATAACTACCATCCCATTAGTCTTCTTACTATCATAAGCATGGTTTTTGAGTTTTTAATTAACAAACACTTTATCTTTTGTCTTGAATCTAATAACTTACTTTTATTACTATAATAACTTACTAATCATCAATGTGGATTTTGATCTCGTTTTAGTGCTGATTTGTTAATGGTAATAAATGATAAGTTTTATCGGGCATTAGATAGATATGGAGTAGACATTTCTAAAACTTTTGATAAAGTTTGGCATGCTGGTCTTTTCCATAAACTCTTTTCTTACGGTGTATCAGGTAACATCTTTAAGATTATTGAATCCTTCCTTACCAATCGTAGTATAAAAGTTCCTTGTAGTATAAGAGCGCCCTCGATGGACAGTGCTCTTTTTCAATTCAGGGGTTCCAGAAATTCTCACATTCAAGGTGGTATTGGTTGTTGATAGTACTACCCTTTATTCATATCTTACAGGGACGAACCCAGACCCGTTTTAGTACTGCTGGAGCGGTATGGGCGCCCAAAAAATGTGCCCAAAAATTATCTTTTAATTTTTTTTTGCTTTACTTCCTTTTTTCTTCAGAACAATAAAATGAATTAAAATTGCTTTTTTTACATAATTATGTGATACAACTGTCTTTCGGTTACTAATTGAATGTTAGTTTAAAAAAAATGAAAGTAGTTACGAAACTTAATTTTAAAAACTTGCTACAAAATTTTATAACAATGCAGTGTATAAAAAGTTAATTTTTTCGAAAGATAGAATGGTTTTAAAATATCCATTCAGAGTAAAGTTAAATTTTTTTTGTTGGTAATTAAGAGCAAACTGCTTTTGATAATAAATGAACAAAACTAAAAAATTTTGGTCTTGATAAATATCTCGCAAATTTAATTTTTGAATGAATGAACTTTTGATTTTTACCTTGCTATTTAATATACTTAAGGAAAAAGGAAAAACAAAACGTAAACTTTTTCAGAAAGTTTTGTTTCTTTTCCATACTCTTTTTGACTTTAAAAGTAATAAAAATAACAATTACAATAACTTAATAAAAGTTCTATCATTTATTGTCTAATTATTTTTAAACTTCAATGTCTTTAATGTTTAAAAAAATCCATAGTAAATGTAACTTATTTTTCAAATGTAATTTTTTTAAATTAGACTTAATGAATAAAAAATATATATATATATTTTTAAAATTTTAATATATATATTTGAAAATGTTATATTTTTAAAATTAAGTTTACCGTAATTATCTCTTCTTTAATTATCTTTAATTGAAAAGGCGCCTTAAAGTCACATCTTAAAATCACTTTAAAAATTATTAACCTTTAGTAAAAGTTAAATGAACAGATTTGCTAATATTTAAATCAAGATTTTAAAATTAAAATAACAGTAAATTCGTTTATTAAATGCTTATATTTTTTATTTGAATAGTTTTTTGAATACAAGGCGTTAAAAACTATTTTTTTAATTTTTAAAAAATTTCGATATATGTAAATAAAATTATGTAATATTGATTAAAAATTGCTTAATATATTTACTAATAATAACTGTATTATGAATTTAGGAAGTTTTATGATTATGGATTCAAAAACTTTAAAGACATTAGTTCTTACAAAAGACCGAAATGAAGAGATTTCAGATATTAAATTTTCACCAGGTTATTTTCATTACTTTTTATTTTTAACATTTGTAAAGTAACATTTTACATTAATAGTTGTTTACATATAGATGGAGTGTACCTTGGTGTAGCATCTCATGATAATATGTTAGATGTATATCATGTCAAGAAGGGAAGAAAAAAAGCAGTTTGTAAAGGAAATTCAAGTTATTTGACACATTTTGATTGGTCAAAAGATGGTATGCTTTTTTTATTTTTATTTGTTCTAAGAAAAACCTTTTCATGATTTTTATAATGAGATGGTACTAAAAAGCCTCGCCCCAAAAGAATTCTGGTATAGCTAACCAATATGTTGACCAATATTCAAGATAATCATTTTTTTCTAAGTTCATTTTTATGGGATGCAATCTTATAAAAATGAAAAGTTTTCAAAGTAATAAAAATGTTTTTTAAAAAATTATAAATTTTATCCCTTTACCATAACCAAAACATTTAAAACTTTAAATTGCATCAAAAAACATTTTGTGAATCACTTTGAAAGAATTTGAAATAAGCTGAAGAGTTTGATTATTTGAATCAATGGGATTAATTGTTGTTAATTTATTGCTTTTTCGCTCACCACTAAATATATTGGTATTTTTGCTTACCACTAAATATATTACTAAATATATACTATGATAAATTTGTTAAATGAAAAAAATGTATAAATATTTATACCTAATAAAAAAAAAGAAAAGAAAAAGATAAATATTTGTTGCCTAAACAAAACAGAAAACTTTTAAATTAACTGAATTAATAAGATGTTTAATTTTCAATTTTTTTTTGTCAGAATTTGTTTTCTTAAGTTCAAGCATAGAAATTTTTGTAAAGAAAATATTTGTTTTTTAAGAAAAGTAAATAAATTAATTTTTACATAATTAATGCTTATATAGTTCTTTAATAATTATCTAAATAAAAATAAAAGAGTTAAAATTAATTTGTTTTTATCTAAATTTACTTTCATTTTGTTACCATATTAAAACTGTTTTTAGGTCGACTTATTCAAACAAACTCTGGAGCTCGTGAGCATCTTTTGTTTGAAATTCCTTCTGGTATGAGAAAAACAATGGGCACAGATGTGGTTATTCGCCTAGAATGGGCAGATTTTACATGTGTTATAGGCCCAACTGTAAAAGGTATTATGTTTTTATTGTTTCCACTAAACACACATATATATACACCACAATTGTAAAAATCTGTTGTGAAACACTCTCTTATAAAAAATGCTAAAAAATATAAAATAATAAAATTATTTATTTTTAAATAATTTTTTTATTAATATATAAAAAAGTTTGTATAATACTTAAAATAATTTAAAGGCAAAATGTGTAAATATTAACTTTATTTGGCATTTGAAAAATATCCAAAAAAGTTTACTTCAAAACTTCTTTTATATTTCCCAGAATAATCCCTATATATACACTAGTAATAAATTAAAAATAAAACTACTTCCTGTTGAAAAATGAATAACCTTTATTTTAAAAAAAATTTCAAAGTAATTGGCTTCATTTACCTTTTAAAATACTTTTAAAATGTCACAAACTATCACACAAATTAATGTATTACTTTTTGTTCAAAAAATTTTTTCTTTTTTAAATGTTCAATTTAAGTATAATTTTTGTGTATAAGTAATTATTATTCCTAAAATCTATATAAAGTTAGAGTTCTTTTGAAGCCCTGGCTTTCTGTTTGCTTTTCTCCAAATATACTTTTGGAGAAAAGCAATTTTAACCCAGCGTGTGATATTTTAAAAAAAGTAAAGAAAACAAATAATTTTTTAGTTACTTTTAGACCAAAGTTCATCTATTTTTCATACAGGAAATATGGCCACAAAATTACAATCTTAATATATATTTATATACATACATTACTATAGTCTACAACCATCGGAATTAAGGTCAGCATTTGCCAATGCCAATTTAAAAGTATTTGAGATTGGCAAAAAATTGTTGACGTTGTTTCTATGTTTTATGGTAAGACCTTTGTATCAAATTTTTTTACCGACCATTATAAGATTGAGGTCGGTAAATTATTGCCGACTTCATTTTTTCTAATTCTGAGAGTTGAGTCTATTAAAATAAGTTTAAAAAAAGGGTAGTAGGATCATTCTTATTATTTTTTATACTTTTTTCATTTTTTGAAAATCTATCTATGTTTTATACTTTTATTTATAAAAACTACTAGTGAAATATTCTATAAAGTTATAAAGTAAAATTTTTTTAATCAACAAAAATATTTGGTCTAGGAATTTATCCCCCTCTTACTGATGTAACAGATGTGAATACATCAAATCGCACTAAAGACTATAAACTTTTAGCTACAGGTGATGATTTTGGATTGGTTAAAATATTTCAATACCCAGTGTTGGTAAGTAAATTTTCCAGTATAATTTTGTATTTTATAAAGTCTTGTTAATTTTTTACAAATATAAAGCGTAACTTACACCATTTACACTTACAGACTTACAGACTTACAGACAGGTTTATAGTTGCAGAAATACAGGTATTGAAAAAGTCGAATACCGTTATTTTGGAATTTGAAATAATTTCACCAATCAAAATAATTTCACCATTTTTTTTCACCAATTTCAATAATTTCACCAAGACTTTAATTGATCTTATAAATGGAAATAAAATTCATCATACAAAATTGAAATGTGGTTATATGATACAGGTTATTTTACATGTTGTAATAGTTAAATTAAAATATTATATAAAATTCCAAACGGTAAGTAAAAAATTTCTTTTTAATTAAAGTATGAATTATACATTTTATTATTGTTTAGAATTTTTAGAAAATTTGTATTTTACACCAATAGGAATATTCAAGATTTCCAGGAGTATTGCAAAGCAAATGATAAAAATTCATTGTGATTTCATTTTGTAAGAGAAAAAGCAGGACAGTGTACTAAATGCAAATTGTGTAAGAGAATGAAAAAAACACATGGAAGTTCTACAAGCAATCTTCATACCCATTTAAAAACAATTCATGAAATTAACTTATCAAGAGATGTAGGTAGCACCATTGTTTTAGATTCTTCAGAATTTGTACAGAAATCAAAACCTTCTGTAACTATAAACAACTTTTTTAAAAGTGATAAAATGGATGACTCATTACCAGCTATTTTAGCTAGGATGACTGCATATGATGGTTTATCATTCAACTTTATCTGCATGTCAGAAAAGGCTTAATAGCCAGAAGCTTTTCTAACATACCAAAGGATCACAAAACAGTTCTCAAGGTGGTCTTGAATTAAAGTAAAAACGAGACCAAGTAATTAAAGAATTATTGAGCAAAATTGCTTATGGAAACAGTTGTTATGGAAACAGTTTTTCTCTAACTTTCAATTAATGGATATTGTTAAGAAATAGATGTTACATAAATATTAACGTCCACTTTGACTAAGAGTTTTGGAATCTAGGAATAATTCGTGCTTTTGGATTCCAGCAGAATAATGTGTCTGAAAATGATGATAATAATTCTTCTGGTACCTCAGCAAATGTTACCATTAATTAAAAAAGTTAAGTGGTCAAAATATTGAATGTTTTATCAATTTTAAAAATTGCATTAAAGGAATCTAATAGATTTAAAATCACCTTTTTTTTTCAGTAGCAACAATATCTACTTCAACCAACATTTCAAATTTAGATACAAATATAATATTTAATACCAATCAATGATGATAATGATCAAAGAAATGAAATATCCCTGAAATTACAAGAAAAATTGGAGGGGGGCAATATGGAAAAAAATTTGCACCAGATTACCTGAGAGTGGAATCAACTGAAATAAAAAAGATCTCACAAATAAGATCTCGCTTGATAAAAAAAGAAATGTAATTTTTTGATACAAATGACATAAGAGGCAAATACTTAACTTTATTATATAATTATTTGCTAATTATTCAACCAACCAGTGTAGAATCAGAGAGAACTTTTTCAGCAGCTGGCTTAATCTGCACCAGAATTCAGTCAAGGATGGGAAACAATTCACTCAACAACCTATGTTTTCTGAGGTCTAATATCAACAACTAACTGCAGAAAAAGTAGAACCTTAAAATTTTATGTTTTCTTCCTTTTCTTATGATTAATATATCCTATATATATATAACTGACATTTATAATATATAACTGACATTTTATATATATATATATATATAACTGACATTTATAATATATAACTGTATATATAACTGACATTTAACCTATATATATAACTGACATTTATAATATATAACTGACATTTTACTGAATTTTTTTTTTAAATTTTTTAAAATGAATTTTTTTTTTTTTTAAATTGACAAACCATTTTTTAATTAAGTTATTTATTCATTCGTTTTATTATAGGAAAAGTAATAATACCAGTATTATATAAAATACCAGCACCAGAATCCCAGGATTAAAAATTTTCTATAAAAAAAATACTGGTATTGGACTTTTAGTCTGGTATTCCCAGTTCTATTACAAACATTTGTATAATATTTGATTAATGTTATATAAATAATTTTTACATTATGTCCCAAAATCCCATAATCTCCCAAATTTTGAAAATTTTTATTTTTGTAAAAATGTCATAGTTTATAGTTTTATCTAATTTAATTTAATCTAATTTGGTTGTTGTATACAATAATATTGTGATAGTAATGTATTTTTTGTGTGTGAATATATATATATATATATATATATATATATATATATATATATATATATATATATATATATATATATATATATATATATTCACATTCATAAGTTCAAGCATAGAAATTTTTGTAAAGAAAATATTTGTTTTTTAAGAAAAGTAAATAAATTAATTTTTACATAATTAATGCTTATATAGTTCTTTAATAATTATCTAATTAAAAATTAAAGTGTTAAAATTAATTTGTTTTTATCTAAATTTACTTTCATTTTGTTACTTTATAAACTCTGGAGCTCATCAGCACACACATGCACACACACACACATGCACACACACACACACACACACACACACACACACACACACACACACACACACACATACACACACACATACATATATATATTCAAAGTTAATTTCAATTACTATCACAATATTATTGTATACTATATATATATATATATATGTATATATATATATATATATATATATATATATATATATATATATATATATATATATATATATATATATATATATATATATATATATATATATATATATATATATATATATATATATATATACATTACTATCACAATATTATTTATACATATACTATATATATATGTATATATATATATATAGTATATGTATATATTATTATTATTATTATAATTATTAGGGTTATGACTTTTTTACAAACTTGTTTTACTGTATCATAATTTTATGAGGTCAAATTGAATGATATAGGTCAAGAGTTTTAAGGTCAAAAAATTACGCAAAAACGTAATGCAAAAACGACCTACGCAAAAAATTTCAAAGCCAAAGACTTAAATTTTGGCCTTACGTTAAGGGCAATTGTTAACAAAACTGCAGGTAGCAAGTGCTGTGACAATAAAACCATATGTTGTGAAATTATACCAAGGTTAGGCGCAGAATTTGAAAATCAGTAAGTAAATATATTTGGAGTTAATATGAAAATCAAAAACAAAAATACATAAAAATAAAAAAATGAAACCTTTTGTTTTTTATTTTTATGTTTTTTTGTGCTTTATGTTAACAACTAATATTAATATCTTTTAATTAAAAATATGTTCATATTAGTTGTTTGCGTTAACTAGATGTCAATAGCATTGTCTATCACTATATAGCCTATAAGTCTTTTGTTACATGTAAGAAACATCAAAATTTCAAGCAATCAATTAGACATACTAGCTCTATGAGGGCGCATTATCAATCCACTTAAAATATATACGCTTGACAGGAGCTGATGTTGCAGGGACACAGAAATACTTGTCAAATACTAAAGATATCTATATCTTTTCAATTATATTAAATATTACATGATTTTATGAAATTATTGTTGTTAGGGGTCATTGAATTTAGATGATATTGATAGATGATATTGAATAGATGATATTGAATAGATTGTTGGAGTAAAAAAAAAGTACAGATTATCTTGGACAAAAGTGTGCAGATGATTTTGGACTACTCTACAGATGTTGTTGGACAGATGTAGTTATCTGTTCCTTTTTATAAAGTTTACAAAAAGACTTCTTTTTTTTTTGGAATGAGTTTTTAAATCTAAGGTGTAACACTGTTTTTAGTAGAAGTTGCTCTGGTGTTGCTCTTGAGCAAATCTTTGATAGTTCAGTGACCAAACTATCAAAAAAGAATAATTAGACTATTGCTTTTGGCTCATAGTTGGATTTTATAAATAAATTATAAAAAAGCTTTATTAAAAATACTTTAGTAACAACTTTTTTGAACAGATTTAGATAAGTTAAATAAAAACAGTATAAATAAAAAAAATCAATCGTGTGGTTTAAAATAGGGATGTATTAAATTCCTGTTAACCAATCATGTCATTAAATGTTGTTTTAAAATGGCTAGTCAAAAATGGCAATATAAACCATGACATAAAACAGAAAATTAGGTTCTAGGCCAAGGCCAAAATGTTCATGGACGAGGTCGAGGTCAATAGTTTCAAAGCCAAGGCCTTAAGTTTTGGCCTTAAGACAAGGCCAAGGACTAACAACTCTGCATATATGCAACATTTTATAGGGTCATCAAACACACAAGGACAGGATAAATCTTAGTGTAAGGTTATCTTTGTTGCAGTGGGACTCCTGCAATGTTGATTGGAGATTCGTATGTTTTGCAGTGGTTTTGCAAGCATCTGAAATCTTTTGGATCTTCATTCAGCACTGCAGATAGTTTATCAAAATCTTCTCCAATTGAAGCCTGCTTATTAAGTGTTTATTCACCTGAGCAGCTCTTATGTATATAGCTTTGTATATTGCTAACTGGCATTTTGTTTGGATTGCAATCCCCTTACCAGAAAGCTTGCATCACACTTTTGCTTCTCTGTGTGAAGACAGCTTCCAGATTGTAACAAGGCGTCTTGCAATGCATGTTGCATAATGCTTCTTTTTGCTCGTTGGTGCCGCAATCTCATCATCCTAAGAAGTGTTTTGGCTGTTTTTGGATGAGTTAGAGTCAGTACAACTTTCAGACCAATCAGGTGGCGATGACTAACTGTGGGCAATGTTGCTTTGATTACCTTCTTTCATGGGTGGATGGTCTTGGCACTAGAAGGTTTGCTAGTAAAATAATCAACCTGGTCTTTGCTCTCAATTTGCAGTTTATACAGGTTCTCATCCTCTTTGCATAACAATTTGCCTTTAACTTTAGTGATGTCAAACAATTCATTCATTATCAATGCATTCAAAGTCATGCATTAAAGTTTTGTTTCTTTCTGCAGCGCTTTTAGTCTTTGAAAAGTTTTTCACAAGTGACTTGATTAGATACATGTGGAAAGTTCAATGTTTTGCTACATAAGACTTTAAGCTTAACAACAATTATACTGATTCTCTCTCTCTCTGTGCTTTGGTAGCGGATTTAAGAAATTTGAAGTGTCTGATGACTTGTTTTTCTTGGGCATGTGACTCCTATCACTCAAGGATGCTTGGTAAATTGTCACTTTGCCTCTCTTGATGGCGCTTGAAATTGGATTAAGTTTTTTGTCCAAATTTTCTTGTTCTTCTGGGTGATAAAAGAGCTCTTTTTAAATGACATGTTATATTCTACTTAGCAACTGAAATAAAAAAGGCCTAAACCTAAATATTAAACATGTAACAAAAAGAAACTGCTTAAAATTATAGAAAATTACAGAAAATAAAAAAAGTAAGACACCAATAAAATAATTTAAACTTAACTATGCGCTTTAAACATCTCACTTATATATCAGTTTATATCACACTGCAAAGCAACTAAAGAAAATTTTACAACTCCACTGGAGCATCTTAAATGCACAACGTTCTACAATATTATGGAAAATTCCAAGCAGTTCTCTCAGGGCAGTACCGTGAAATTTTGTAGGGAAGTTTGTTTTTGTAAAATGAAAAAGTTTAGAGTTAAAAATAAATATTTTGCTTGGTTTTTATAACAAAGTTTGTGTGAAACAAAGACCACTTGGTACAAAAAAAGGGGGGGGCAATTACGCCCAATGACTCCCCCACAGTAAGAGCCTCCATAATAATATCTCTAATATAATCTCTATAATAATATGTAGTATATAAATTATTAATTTTCAATATTTCATTAGAATAAAGGTCATTTTAGTCATTAATAAGCAAAAGTTCATCTATTTGTGCTACAGGAATTTTTGAGAAAAAAAGTTAAAAAGTCATCACCCTAATATGCCATACATGTTTAGATAAGCAGTCTGATATCATTCTGAAATAGCTTACTGCTTGAGGCTTCAGTATATACATTGATTATCTTATAGCCTGTTCCTGGTAGGAGTGTTGTCACATCGACTAAAGGTTTTGGCTAGGGAAGCAATCTTTTCTTTCAATATTCTTCATTTTAATTCTTTGGTTAGTGGTGTTAGGCTCTAACACCACTAAATCCTGCTGGTATTAAAACTTATAACTTTTGTATTTCTCAATTTTTTACTCAGATAGTTAACTCAAATATAAAAATATATTTTAATCTTACTAAAGTTTACAACCCACATTTTTAAAAATACCTTATTCTACTATCACACTACGTACTACTAAGCTGAAAGGTATTTTTTCCATGATTTTCTTTGTGAACTTATAATTAAATTGTAAATTGACATTTGGTAACATATTTATATATCTATGTTTAATCCTTAAGTTTTCTTATAGTTATAAAATTATTTCTTATAATGAAAAACTATACAACTTTTTCTTGGCATTAATAAGTATTGTCAGCTCCATTTGAAAATGTGCAAGTGGACATTACAATTAACATTAATAAGTATTAATAATGTAGAACATAGTAATTACATTCTTTATAATCAAGTCATTTTTTTATTTTATTTTTTGTAACTAACTTTGCTATTTGTTTTTTACCTTCAATTTTTTTTATTTAATAACATTTTCAATTTTTTTATTGTTTTTATTTTATTTGTCTTTACTTCTTTTCTTTAGAGTTATTTCCTTAATTTTTCCTGTTCTTTCCATTGTTAAATAAAAGTTTAGTTCCTTTGTTAAATAGTTCGTGTTATATCAATAGTTCTATTTTATGTTAAATAGACAGTTCTGTCGATTGCCATCATTGTAATGAATTAGTTATTTTAAATAAATTTGAAATTTATGTAATAATTATTTATTTAAATAATAGTTGTTTATTTAAATTTATGTTGCATTACATAACATGTTTATTTACATTTTGGTTTTAATTTTTTCATAATCTACACCAGCCAAATAGATAAAAAAGGGGTGCAAAGCTGGTCAACATTTAGAATCTGTTTACCCCTTAAAGTACTAAATAATATTCATTAGCTAAAAATAATCAAATAACTTAAATTGCAGCCACTCATGATATTTAGCTATTAAAATGTGGATGTCTCAATTTTAATTTCTCAAAAGCATCAGTATTCCAGATTACATTATTATTCCACAATTGGCACTTTTACTCTAATATTAAACCTTACCTTTTTATTTGCTTTTTTTATGTAATCAGTTGCTTTCAGTAATATTACTTTTTCTATGTAATCAGCTACTTTCAGTAATATTACTTTTTTTATGTAATCAGTTACTTTCAGTAATGAAAGTAACATAAAAAGTAGTAATATTACTTTCAGTAATATTACTACTGAAATTAAAACATAGATTAACAATTAAAAAAGGGTTAAAAGTTACAACTTCTATGGCAAGTTATAGTATGATATAATTAGGCAGAGATTTATTAGATAATATTTTTTTGTTAATATAACATATAATTATACACTCAGACATCATGTTTTTATTTTGCAGGTGTGGTATTAATGTGTACTAGCAAAAAGCAACCCGTAATACGGGTTTTGGTCGGTCTGTTACATAATTAATTTATAGTGGCTGTTTTCCACAATTTAATGTTGTACGTTTTTAGTTACTGACACAAAATATTAACACTTCGTCATGCTTTAAATTGACGAAGGTATCAACGAAATCCTTGTAATAATTTTTATAACACGAATCATTAAGATTAAAATAAAGTTAAAAAGAATAAATTATATTATACAGGATTAATTTCGCGTTACGTAATATATAGACTATTCCTAAAAGAAAATACTTGAAACTAAAAAGATTTTATTTATTACAATCACCAATAACAACCAAGGGACAATTTAAAGAATTATATCTTTAAATAGCAAATTATCAATCGCAGTATTACAAAATACGCAAGAGCTCAGTAATTACATGAGTTTAATCTATTCTCTCTCTATACTAATTCTTATTTAAGTCTCATCTAAGAGAGAGAGAAAGTGTTTTAAAAACAGCACATTAGAAAAAGTAAAAAAGTCAATAAATAACAGTAACTGGTTTTATTATGCTACCAATAAACAGTATATAAACAATAAACAATAAACTAAAATAATAAACAATAAAATAATAAAACAATAAACTAAAATAAACTAAACAATAAACAATAAACTAAAAGTTAATTTCCAGTATTTCTTAATTAAGTTCCAGCTTCTCTTTAACTGTTGACAATTGATTAATATTGTAAGTTTCACATCATATTAAATTTACAAAATTAAAACCATGTTTCAACTGTAAGCAAAATAATCAAGTGATGACAAAGACAACTAAAAAAAAATGAACACAATTATGTTTAAGATTACAAATAAAAAAAAAATCATTAAAAATTGAAACTGTTATTACTTGTTATAATAAATAGTAAAATTGGTACTTTAAAATTAAAATATTAAAAATAGTAAAATTCATACTTTAAAATTAAAATATTAAAAATAGTAAAATTTATACTTTAAAATTCATATTTTAAAGTGTCTAATGTAAATTCAAATAATAGACATCAACACCACTTGACACTGAATTCTGACAAAAAAGTTTTCTGTTCATCAAGCAAAATTTCTTATATTTCAACGACAATTAATTTTATCAAGCCTAGATCTATTTCTTTCATATGACAACAATTTCAAGTCGCCTATAACCAATAACACTAATAACTTCATCGAGCCTAATATTATACATCTGTTATCATAAAATTTATTAACAGTGATTATACTACTGTTACAACTGAATAAATGAAAGTTTTATATTTTTACAACTGAAAAATATAAAACAAAATTTTTGACATAATTTTAATTTGGCAAAGAATTTAGACTACAATGCAAAGTTATTTTTACCTTCAGGCACAATCTTAATGCACAAAAATAATAAATGCAGAATCTTGTATAAAAAATGAAGCAATGTTAGTCTAAAGTAATATATATATAAATAAATGTATGCATATATATTCAAATTTTTTTTATTTTTTTAATTTTTTCTATGAGATAATATTTATATAGATTCAGAGAAATATAAAATATTCTGATATATAGGCACATTTATGTATATAAACTTACCTGTCAAAAATTACAGTCAGTTTTTCATGTTAAATACATAAAATATATATCTAATATAAAATAAAACAAAACATTAAACTTACTTACTAAAGCAGTAACATCGCTTGACTGGTAAGGTTGATAAATCTTACTCTACACGGTTGCCAAGTAACTCTACTTTGAAATCATGGAAACAACATTATATAAATACATATACTTATTATAAAACACAATATATTTTTTTAATGTTACTTAGCATATAAAAACACCCCATTTAACAATCTTGCACAAATTAGATTTAATACATTTCATACTATTATAAAAACACAGTTATATAAACACATTTATAAAACAAGTATATAACATATATCACCACATACACGTATTTATCAAAAAATTTTAAACTTTGAGCATAATATACATGCAAACTTATATGCAATCTTTTAACAACTATAAAACAACATTTATTAGCATCAATTATTTTTAATGTAACAAAGACTGCAGATACAATGCACAACATTGTTAATAAAAATGAAGTTATATCAGTCAGTATATATTAATCTAAAGCAATGAAAAAGAAGAAACTATTTAAGAACAAAATTAAAAACTTCTAATAAATACATATTTACATACCTTAAAATGAAGCTTAGAAAATTTCTTCTGCATTTGTCTTTTGGCAAATTGCAGAAGAAATATTCTCAACTTTCTATTCCTTATTATTTATCCTTAGAGAAAATATATATATAGATATAGAGAAATATAAAATAGACTGAAATAAATCGAAAATCCTAATTTATGTATGAGAAAATAACTTGAGCTTACTAAAAAAAGCAATCAGCTCCTCTTAACTGCTCTAAAAAATAAAACAAATACTGCTTAAAATGTTTTAAAAAGACTAACGACCAAACTGAAACAGTTTTCTTAAAAAAAGAAACATTGTACTAAAAAAACTATGTTACCAGTCAATTTAGTTCTAACTTATTCTAAAAAATGAAAAATAAATACATATTTAGATACCTTAAAATCAAGCATTACACAACACCCTTTTGACAAATTTCAGAAGAAATTTTTTTTGTTTTTCTATTCTCAACTATTTTTGCTAAGAGAAAATACATATAGATATACATATATATATGTACATAACAAACTAACAATTATTTAAATTTTTATTTTAAAAAATAAACAACATCAATTCTTCTTGAAAATAAGCGTATCAGCTCCAATTTGCTTGCTGATTTTACTCGAAAGACCGCGTGGAATATATAACTGCGCTTAAAAAAGTCTAGAAACAACTTAAAAACTAAGAAATAGTGTATTTTACATAATGCAGAACCGTAATTAACAAAACGAACAATAGGCGTAACAATGCGTAACTATGCGCACTAATAATAATAATAATAATATTCATTCGGCTATTCATTATAGAGATTAATATTTATGCACCATGCACCACTTATTTATATACCTTGTATATTTTATAGATAAATGTAGTATAAGTTATCTGACAATGGTAAAATCAAAATTTCAATTAGTGTGGTAAAAGTACCTTTTGTTACTGGAAAACTTAACTTCAAGACAATGGGAAAACTTGACTTCAAGACAGTGGGAAAACTTAACTTCAAGACAGTGGGAAAACTTAACTTCAAGACAGTGGGAAAACTTAACTTCAAGACAGTGGGAAAAAAATGCAAATAATCTTCAGATTCAACAAGCTTTGTCATAATAAATAAATATGCTGCTTTGCAAACGATTTTTGTATTTTTGCTTTGATCAGAGATTGATGATCAGAAATTAATGGTCAATTAGATAAAAGAAAAGTCAATATTCTATTAAAAAATATGATCAATATTTGTCAGAAGACAGTATTTAAGAACCTGTTGTAATGCTAGCAGATGGAAGCAGTTTAATTTTTAAACATAACGATATGTATTTCCGCAAAATTACGAAATAAGTATGCAGCAAAGCTAGTCTAGTGTTGATGGAAGGAAATTTGTATAATTTCTTTAACTAAACATCCTTTCAAATTTTTTTAAAAATTAAAAACTTTAATAACTCTAACTTAGTAGTTAAGTTTTTAATTTAGAACATTAAATAATATTTTTAGCTAGCCTAAAGATAGGTAAGAAATTATTAACAGTCTTAAAATTGAATATTTAAAAAAATTTAAGAGCCACTTTCTGTAAGAATCAGGCAGGACTCAAGTAGTGCCTTCAAAGTTTGACTGAGCATTTTTAAACTTGAAGATAGAACCATGCATTTAAAGATTTTAAAAGTTTCTAAAGATAGGCAAGACACCTTTCATGCAGTCAACTGTAGTACCGATATCAGTTACCTCAAAATATTTAAAAATATTTGTAGATAAACAGTGATGAAACATATTATTTCTATTATAAATAGTTTTTTAAAGATATTGACAAAAAATGCTTTAAATGAAGTATTTGTACAGATATTTTTTCTGTTTACAAGTAAAAGTGATATTGGTTTTTTGTTAGTATTGCACATTCTAGCTCTTTATACATTTTAGAGTATATATTTTTTGTTAGAGAAAGTGTTAACAGATAGATCTTAACAGATCTAGTTATAGGACTTGAATAAACCTGTGAATTTGCTTCTTCTAAAAGCCTTTCTTATTATTATTGTTTTTTTTTAACTATATTTATATTCTCAAGGGATAAAAAAAGTTTGTGTAAAAGGGTTTTTAAAACAATGCTGTTTTTTTATCTGGTTGTTTATGGGGTTCGTTTGGGTTTTTTTCTGCTCTGTATTTCCTAGTATTAAGAGATACAAAGTATTTTTTAAGAGATACAAAGTATTTTTGAAAAGATACAAAGTATTTTGTATCTCTTAATAGATGTTTTATTTTACTATGGGAATAAAAATATTTTTATAAAATAATATTTTTCTTATTTTATTTTTTAACAATATTTAAAAAGTTTATTTTACAAAAAAATTAAAAAACATTTTTTTAAGTTTTTTTAACAGATAAAAAGTGGGCTATTGTTTTGGCTGTTATATGAACTAATATTTGGTACCAGTCTAAAATTATACTTAATTTTAGGCCTAAAATTGTTGCCAAAATAAGTAGTAAAAAAAATTCTATAAATTTTGCACCAAATATTACATTAATAATTATTTTTATAGTTTGCGCCGACTTTGTTTTGGGGTGGGGTAAATTGGCGAACAATTTTTTTTTTTTTGAGGCCTCAGAAGGGCTCCAAGAAAAAAATTTTTATAATAAATTCAAATTAAAAATGTTACCTAAATTCATACTCTTTAACACTGTGCTTTAATATTTAAAAAAATTTTGCCGTTAGGGCTACATAGCTCCAAAAGTAAAACAGAGGCAACTAGTCCCGGTCTCCCCTGTTGTTGACTTGAAAAAAATAGAAGTTTTTTCTAATGTAACAAATTTTAACTAAAAAAATGTTTGCAAATATAATTTAAATATGTTTTCAGAAATTTTACGTAATAAATTTTGTAGATCAGATTTTTTGTGATTTACAATAAGTTTAATTTTTAATTAATTTTTTATCTTTTAAGTATTGAATAATGTTTTCCATGTGATGATGATAATCTTTTTATTATCCAAAATAGATGCGGGGTGCAAAATGTCGAACTTATAAAGGTCATTGCAGTCATGTTACTAATGTTAAGTGGACTTGTGATGACAGGTTTCTGTTGTCTACAGGAGGAATGGATGCAACTCTATTACTTTGGGAACGTGTTCCTGCTGGGCAAGATTTTCAGGGTAATTTTTTTTTCAACTATTGACATTTTTAAAAGTAAGATAATGATATTTTAATTATTATTAATGCGTCATCATTATTAACAATGTTTTGCAAATAAATAAAAAATTAATGCATTATCATTATTAACAATGTTCTACAAATAAAAAGACCAATAATAATCATAATGCATTAAGAATGTATTACAAATAAAAAATTGTTTTATTTGAAATCATAAATGTAAGCGCATAATTGCATTATTTTTTTGTAATTTTAGAAGAAGACACTGATATAGTAGTTCAACCAAAATTTATTCCGACAGGACCAGTTAGTTAATGTTTTTTGTACAAATATGTATTTATATAATTACATATACACACAAACACATAACTTAGTTTCATTACGCACAAACGCATATTGGAGCAATTTTTTTAAACCAGTTTTATTATTTATTAATTGAAACCATTTGTTTCTTTTGAAATCTAATTTTTATTGAAACTTTTTTATTTTTTAGATTATTGACTGAGTGTATATATATATATATATATATATATATATATATATATATATATATATATATATATATATATATATATATATATATATATATATATATATATATATATATATATCAAAAAGTTTAAAAAACTGTTATAATTAATTTAAAAAAAATTTGAGATATGAGAATCAATTTAAATATTATTTTTCTAAATAACTTTAGAAGGATTTAATAAAAAATAAAAAGTATATTTATTTGAAACTGTTGTTTGGGTGTCTAATATTGTATGTACGTTAGTTTTCATTTTTTATTTGTGTTGACAAATATTCATGAGTTTTTAGTTTTATTGTATTATAAAAAATACTACCTTAAAATAATAAATAACAATTTATTTAATACAATGTAAAAATATTCAAGTACTCAGATATCTTACATTTATATCATACCATAGTTGAATTTCATACCTAAGTTGAATATTACAAAATACGTAGTATTGTAAAATGGTTTTGTAGCTACATAATTGTGCACTCTTGTAAATAAAGTTAAAACAACTGTATACATTAAAATGCATGTGTAACAAATATATCGTCTAGTAGTCTATATTATAGAATGTGTTAGGACTTTGGGAAAAAAACAAACTATTATGCGCTAAGGGTTAGGGTTTTGTTTGGGGTTCTCAATATTTGTGGGGTGTTTTATTTTTTATTTTTTTTGCTAATAAAATTTTTTAATAATTTGTGATAATAATAGTGTTGCGCTTGTTAAGTTTTGAATGTTATGTTATGTTTTATAAGTATATAAATGTGTTTTCATTTTTTTGCTAATTTTTTCTCTTATTTTACATTTTTATATTAATTTTAGAAAATATTAATTTTTAATTGTTCAAAATCAAACAGTCTAAATTAAGAATAATTGTTTTCTTTCTACTCTAATTAATGATAAATAGCAATAATTGATTTTAATATCTTCATTTTTATTTGATATATATATATATATATATATATATATATATATATATATATATATATATATATATATATATATATATATATATATACAGTAGTATTTAAAATATTACGAGATATTTTTAATTAAAAAAAGTAATATATACTGATATAAAATAATCATTTTATCTAACTAGTTTTTTTTTCAAATTATATTGTAAATTGTTAATAGTCGTTCTCTTTTTTTTTCTTACATTGATTTATTTATGATGTAAACAATGATATCAAGTATTACGCTTTTTTTTAAAAAAATTTTAAATTGTAAATATATATTGTGGAAGGATAATTGTTATAACAAGCCTTATGTTTTTTTTATTCCCGTTGGTTTTATGCTTCGTATATGAATAAGTAAAAAGTGCGTTTTTTTGTCTAGTCCAATTACGCTTTTACACTGAATAAATTATTTTTTACTTGTAAAATTTTAAATTAAACATTTTTGTTAGAATAAAATGTTATATTTGATTTATTTACAAAATATTTTTAAATAAGTAAATAACGTTTCTGATTATGCAAATTAACTTAGGTGAGCTTTTCAGTTGTTTTGATTATTTAAATTCAATATTTTATTCGTTTAGTAATATTTTTTGGTAGTTTACTATTTTCTTTTATATCTGCTAATTTTAATAACTATCGAGTCAAATAGTTATTCAGAGTCCTAAACCTTTGTTGAGTGTAGGGTGTATTAAAGAGGTAATATTTGGTTTGAAATACTTGATACTACATATAAGTGATCTTAGCTGCGGCAAACTCTTTTTATGTAAACACGTTATCAAACGGATGAATTCCACTTTTTTTTAACCTAACTGACAATTTTGAACAGTCAATCAAACAAACTGACAGTTTTGAACAGTTGGCAATTTTAACCTTGATTGAAAGTTTTGAACAGTTGCAGTTTTCCCACAAGCTATTCCAAATAATTCACTAACCTCTAATTCAGTTACAGGGTGACCTGGATGGTGAAGAATCCAAGTACTAACTTCCTGATCATAAAATATTTTGAAGCTTTTAAAGAATGAAACATCGAGTGGTTGCAGTTTGTGCAGTGGGACGGAAGTGATAAATAATAACATTTGTCTGGTAAGCTTTTTTGATAACACTAAGTTTTTTTAAAAACTTGAATTTCATCCATTCAAATCATCCAAAAGTAGAAGATATTTATTATTTCATCCATTCAAATCATCCAAAAGGAGAAGAGCTGATTGGTTACAAGTCTGTGGCTGGACTGCTTGTAAAAAATAATCAAATTATTTTTCTAACAACTCAATTATTATCCAGCCATTTTTCTATTTCTGGTGGCAGCAAATATCAACATTGGTGGGACAAAAAATCCGCTTGCTGATTGGCAACAAACTAATGTGATTTTTCCCTTTCAGAGCTTGTTAAGCCACTTATTCCAGCTTTTTTGCATAAGTGCGAAGCCGTTGCAAAAACTGGCACAAGTGCGAAATTAATAAAAAATATTTTCTCTTCCGGTCAATAACTTTTCCTTTTTTATGAAATATAGAATTTCATTTGCCGACCTGTACTTTCTGTGAAACTCTGAAAATCCAGAGTCGCCTACGTGGAATAAGTTTGAAAGTGAAATAACCTGCATTCTATTGCCATTAAACATTTTTTCTAGTTTGTTATAAAAACAATTAACTTTTATTCTATTAGAAGCAATGACGTTGATGGATTGGCTCTTTTTATTTTAGTATCAGAGAAAGTACAAGTTGGCAAATTTAACATTTTTCTTACTATTGCATTATCCCATAGGTATTTTTTTAAATATAAAATAAAAGGCCAATACTCATTTTTGAAAATAAACTTACTGAGAGCCCGGGGCTTTAGCCAAAAATCTCACTGTTAACTAGAATCAATATTTTAAAGTTTATTTAAAATGTAATATGTCTACCTGTTTTATATAAAAACAAATCCAAGTTATTACCAAATAGCTATCCGGGTGTGTATAAGCTTACGTATTCATGCGGTGACGTTTATATTGAAGAAACAAAAAAGTTTTTTAAGTTTTTTATGATATTTTATCTTACCGTACTTTGAACACTTTTGAGATATTTTTACTTTCTCTTCCTTCACTATTAATAATATTTAAAATTTAACAAAATGAATATAGGGGCTAAGGTTGACTCTTACATAATTCAAAATCAAAATAATATTTAAATAAAAGGATTTTGTATAATATTGATTTAATTAGTCATTTAAAGTTACCTCACAAAAGTTACCTCACAAAGTTACGCATTGTTTTGCTCACGCAACGCATTGTTTTGTTTTGAAATTTAATAAAAACAACAGTCTAGTTTCACACAAATTTATTTTTGCTAAAATAATCTAATATTACTTAATAACAAGAAAGAATTATATACAATAGAACATACAATTACCTTAATCTAAATAAATTTCTATATAAAAATCAATTCGGTTTAAAAAAAATTGTTTAACTGAACAAGCCATTACACAGTTCATTAGTGATCACAATAGTTCATTTGGTAGATCACAATATACATTAGGTATTTTCATTGACCTATCAAAAGCATTCGACACGGTCGATCACAAAAATCTACTTAAAAAACTCAAATTTTACGGAATTAATGGCAAAATAATAAAATGGTATAAAAGTTACTTGAAAAATAGAAAACAATTTGTTTTCTATGGAGATTATTTTCAAAATGAAAAATTAATTGACATAAAATGTGGTGTTCCACAGGGTTCTATTCTAGGCCCACTTTTGTTTTTAGTTTATATAAATGATTTAAATAAAGCTTATGAGTTACCATTTTTGCGGACGATACTAATTTATTTCTGTCAAACAGTGACATTTATGAGCTTTTTTCAAATATGAATAAAGAACTCAATCAGATCTCCAACTGGTTTAAGTGCAACAAGTTAACTTTAAACATTGACAAAACAAAATGGATCCTTTTCCACTCTCTTGCAAAAAAGCGTTTTTTACCAAATAAATTACCTAAACTTTTTATTGATAAAATTGAAATAAAAAAGGAGTCGGTCACAAGATTTTTAGGCATTTACATTGATGAAAATATTACATGGAAGTATCATATCAACTTTATTTCTACTAAATTGGCTAAAAGTATTGGAATTCTATATAAGGTCAGATACTATCTAAGTAAACAAAACTTAATTCAACTCTACTATTCATTTATTCATAGCTATATAAATTATGCAAAAATTGTTTAGGGAAGTACCTCTAAAAGAAAGTTACAAAATCTCTACCATCGTCAGAAACACGCAATGCGTTTAATATGTTTTAAAAATCGTTTTTCTCATTCAAATATTTTATTTAAAAACGTTAAAGCACTTAACGTTTAGAACTCAATGCCTATAATATTTGATGTTTTATATTTCGTTGTAAAAGTGAACAACCATTGTCCAATTTCAAAGATCTTTTTACTTATAAAGCTATAAAAAAATATGCTTTGCGAAATAATAATTTATTAATTGAACCCTTTTGTCAAACAAAGTTTAATCAATTTTGCATAAACTATCGAGCACCGTATTTATGGAACGAAATTGTTGTTCCAAATTTTGGTTTGTCAATTTCGTTTTCCGTTTTTAAAACTAAATTAAAAAACTATATTCTTTCTACTGGCAATACATATGAATATTTTTTAAAATATAAAAAATTTTTTTTACTCTTGATAATTTGTAAAATTATTTTCAGTTTTTGTTTCTTCTACATTGTTAATAGTTATTAGATCAATTGTATTTTTATTTTATTATATATACACGTATTATATATTTTATATGGTTCTGGCGACAAGATCATTTTAATCTTCTTTCAGATACCAAGTTTATATATTGTTATATTGTTATATTACGATTAATAAATATAAACTTAAAAAAAAACAAACAAAAAAAAAAAAAACACCCATTTAGTTTTTGTTTTATTTAATGGATATGTTTTAAGAGGGCTAGCATAAAAGTCTCATTTACATTAGTTTCACTTACAGACAATGCAAGTGATATACCTTTCCATTTAGACTAAAAATCCTCATAAGAAATTTTGTTAAGGTCAAAACTTTTTTTAAGGTCAAAAGTGATTTTTATTTTCTATTGAGTCTCCTTTTTCCTTGACATTAACATAACACAATTGTTAAAGTACTTTAATTACTGCTTGGTGACTACTGTTTTAATGTTTTTATCACCATCTGGCAAACGATTGAAAATAAAACTTTCATCTAATGGGTAAATCCCTTTTTTTTTCTTAAATCTCTAAGCTACTTAGTTGCTGATTACCTTTTGATCTGACGAATATAATATTTATAAATAAATACAATTAGAACGAAAGAGATTTATTTTTTGAAATTTTCTGCGTTTCTTATAAACAAGAGGTTTTTGATTGATCAAATGTTTTTCGCCTTTTTTTCATGGTTTTTGTCGAAACCTTTTTTCTTTTTTAACAAAAAATTATAACTATTATTAAAATTTTTATTAAGTTTTTTTGAGACCTAACATGACATACATTTAAAAAACTTTTTCTTCTTCTGTTTAGGGTCTCATTGCAAGTTTCAGACTTGAGATGGCCCCCCGAAATCTTATTCAATTTTGAAAAAATTTAACAAGGTATCTTGTGAATATATATATATATATATATATATATATATATATATATATATATATATATAACAAAGTATCTTGTGATATATATATATATATATATATATATATATATATATATATATATATATATATATATATATATATATATATATATATATCAGGGCTATAGAGTCGGAGTCGGAGTTGCGGAGTTGCGACAATTTTAGCGGAGTCGGAGTCATAGCAACATAGCAATGGAATATAACTATAGCAGGCTAACAAACTTCTTTTTTAAAAATTGCTTTTTTCTTCTTCTTTTTTCTCTTCTACTTCTTTTTATTATTATTCTAGCTGGAAATGTGAAAAAGATATATCAGCTATCTCATCAATAAAATCATCAAAAACTTCATTTGTTGAAATCGATTTAACATTGTAGAATGATCGGCCTCGACAATTAGTACATACTGTTGAACACAATAACCCGAGTTTTTTGTAGCTATATTTTGCACTACAACCCTTTTTGCAATTACAAAACACGGTGATGAGAAGTATTTCCGGAGCAAGTGGGAGTAAAGCTTGAATTGGCTCAAATGCATTACCTACTAATTTCCAACCCCACTCTGCTTGGTCCAGTTGATTTCCTACCCAAGTGTCGACTAGCAGGAACAGATGTTGAAAAAAGACAAAATAGTTGCACTCTTATTTAGGGCCCTGCGAATCGGCAGTTTTTGTTTCGAATAGAATCTCGAATCAAGGCAGGACTTCATTTGCGATTCGAATCACGTTTCGAATCGACATTTTGAAGTCTAAATTTAAGCATTTTTTATTTAATAATACATATTTCAAAATAAAATAAAATACAAAAATTGTATAATCTCTTTATTGATACTTCTTGCCCTGGTTAACCTTTTTAATGACTGATTAAAAAAGTATTTAAGGATAAGTAACGTTATTTCGATAGCACCAAAGCGCAGAATATCTAAAATACCTACAACAAAATTAGTAAAGATTCGATTTTCGAACATTTTTGAATCGAATCTCGAATCATTTTTTTGATTTGATTCGATTCAAAATTTCGAAGCTTCGCAAGGCCCTACTCTTATTGTTCCGTGTATTTTTAAAAACTTATATATCTATACTTGTCTCAAACAATTTTTTTTGGAGCTCTATGTAGAGCAAGGAGATGCTCTTCAAATAACCTTACCAATCTCCCATACGTTAAACTCTTATAAACTACTTTGCAATCAATTAAAACATTGTATCCAAGTTTTGCTGTAGATCTTCGTTTTTCAATTTTTTTTTTAGTTTTTCATTGAGCTGATAAATTGTAGGATGCCCATAAATTAAAAGACGAAAAGATTTGTATAAGGCGTTTTGAACCAAACCGTCAATGAAGAAATACTAGGAGACCCAATTGTAATTTCGATTTAAGAATTATTTTCTCCAAAAAAATAGACGATGATTCCGAGATATCTCTGGTAAAATCTTTAAACATTCGATTAGGCCAGGGATAATTGGTATCATCAAAGAATAATGAATATCGAATGATTGCAACCGCAGTTTTTAAGATTCGAAATTGTTCTTCCTCTTTATTTTGGCTTTTTTTTTCATACCAAGCTTAAGAATATCGTAATGATTTTTAAAAAATCTGCTCGGTTTTTCATTGATAATAATTTTATTACCAGTGGTAATAATTTTATTACTTGAATTTCAATCGTATCTTAATTGTTTTGTTATCTAAATCTGAATTTTTGCAAATACTTTTTAACTCTTACAATATAAATGACAATCATCACTACTTTCAATGTATCTTAATTATTCTTCCATCAAACCATTCGTAGATTCATCTTAAGGACGACCGATTTAACAACTATTATGGTACTACCTGACGGGCATTTGTTTTTAAAAGTTACGTTCTAAATGTGTTTTAAACGTCTTTTAAACGTCTTTTAAACGTTTAAAAGACATTTAAAATACATTTAGATCGTAACTTTTAAAAACAAATGCCCGTCGGGTAGAGTCAGCAGCAACAAAATCATATTCATACTCAATGCGTGCAGTAACATTTTTTACTACGTCATCAAACCGACTTCGACCATTGTTTTGAATTCAAGGGTAACAATTTTATAAATTTTACGCCAAACATTTTGCGCTTTCTTTTTTTCAACCCCTCAAAAAAAATTGGATTCAATCACGCGAACTCTGGTTTGAGGTGGACTAATTTTGGATGTACTAGCCAGTTGTTGTTGTTTTTTAAATGCCTTAATAGCACTCTTCCGAATTTACACTTTACGGTACTGCATATGAATTGTCACAGACCTCTGGTCCGTCATTTCTATCAACACTAGAATTAGTTAAACTCTTCATTTCACGATCAATAAGAACTGTTTCATTTCTTGTTAAAAGTTTAAATTCAAATAAAACATAATTACGACATTTGTAAAAAAGTATTAAGTAGTACAAATCGTTATGAGAAATATTTAACAAATAACCAAACGTATTAACTGCAAACACCAAACGAAATATCGTTTAAGACAAACTTAATTTGGTATAACGTAATGAAATACTTTTAGCGTTTAAAACTTAGTTTAAAAAAAAAAAATCATTTTAACAAAACTTGCTAAAGACTATTAGTTAATTATTTTTCTTAACAGGGTTCATAAAAACGGCTTAAAAAAAATTAAAAAATTAATAAACAAAAATTAATCATTACCACTTAGCCATACCACATTAAAGTGATTTTATATCCAAATTTTCTTTCTCCAAGATGAGATGACCACCTACCCCAAAATATATATATACTAATGATAGAATTATAATAGAATGTATAATACAAGTATTGTCAAATAAGTCACAAATAAATACCTTATTCTACTAATTTACTGTAAGAACACTCAGTCAAGAAAATGCAGTTGCTTATATAAGTAATATTATATAAAAGTGACTAGTTTGTCTTGACTGAGTTTTCTTACAGTGAATTATGTAAAGTATATTATACATAATGTACATTAGTATAACATGTATAATAAATATATATATATATATATATATATATATATATATATATATATATATACATATATATATATATATATGTATATATATATATATATATATATATATATATATATATTATATATATATATATATATATATATATATATATATATATATATATATATATATATATATATATATATATATATATATATATATATATATATATATATATATACATATATATATATATATATACAACCCTTGAAATTAGGGTCGGCATTCGGCAATGCCGAATTAACTGAAACTCTACAAGAATAAGGTCGGCAATAATTTGCCAACTTTATTCTTGTAGAGGTCGGCATCAGGTCGGCAAAAAAAAATTTAATACAAAAGTCTTACCATAAAACATAGAAAAGAGGGTTGTATATATATATATATATATATATATATATATATATATATATATATATATATATATATATATATATATATATATATATATATATATATATATATATATATATATATATATATATATATATATATATATATATATATATATATATATATATATATATATATATATATATATATATATATATATATATATATATATATATATATATATATATATATATTCATTATCGAACTAAAAAGATAGAATGAATAACTGGAATAAAAAACTGAAAAAAAAAAAAAACGAAAAGAAAATTAGGTTAAATAGTCATAAAAGGTGGGTTTCAGGTGTAAATATCTTTTATATAACATTTTTAAAACAGAAAAAATACTTACCTAGTATTGCCTTATATGACAAAGTAATCTTAAACGATTTTTCCCTTTGTTACCTATCTTGTTAAACTGCGCCTGCACCTGTTTCTCCATCATCTCATTTATACACCTACTTACTAGTTGCGAAACTGTCCACCCAGTTGTTTTAAACGACTAACCTAAAATATTTAAAAATGAATACTTGATTTTTTGAATGAATATTTCAAATTAGTTTCATTGATCCATAATTTAATTTTTTGACTAGTGATTTTGCTTGATTAATGACCAGTTTTATAGAAACCAAAATTAATAAAAAAAAACATACCAGAAGAGTATACTCATTTTCATCAACCAACTTTCTATCGAACTTTTTAAATTCTTCCATGGTGTCAAACTTTGTAAGATGGAAACTTGAATCTGCTGGCTCTATTCTTCTTCCTAAGCGTTCCAATGTGGTAATAATATCTGCCTGACCGGCTTTAATAGCAGCCAACTCCATAAACAACCCATACTGCATTCCTAAAATAAAAACATTTGGATCAATTTTGTTTTACAACGTCAAAGCAAAAGAATAGCTTTATCAGCAATACATCAGTCCAACACTTTTTGTAATCGTATCTTATGGAATAAATCAATTCTAGATTTTTTTATTTAACACATATTTTTAAACAAAAATGCTTTTCAAAATATATATTGCCTAGCAGAGGTAAAAAAGAAATTAAAAAAACTTACGCCTCTGATCCATTAACTTATACGAAAAAGGCGAGTCACCATAATTTCCAAAGCGACATGTTTGACTGGATTTTAGTTGGCAGAGTGACAATGATGCATCTTTGTGACAGAGAGTGGAATTTATATTGAGCATGGAATCAGATAAAGTGTTTTGTTTCAATAGAGATCTCCTTGGGTATTGATTATTATTACTGTTAGAAGCTGATGTTTGAAAATATGAAGCAGGTGCAGTATAATTGTGTTTGGTTACAGTATTATGACTAGTCAACAATGTTTTAAATTTTTTGTTTGTTGGATTGCAACTTTTAAAGGACTTGATTGCAAATCAGAGGAACAGCTATCGCTTTTATTAGAATTTTTAGTTCTTCTTTTGCATTGGTCGGATTTAAAATTTTTTATTACTACTCAACTTTGGTATTCTTTGGTATTCAAGATCCGGACTAGGCTCGCTGATCATTTCAGATGTTTCTAGTTCAACACCTAAAAAGAGGTCAATAAAATCAAATGAATGGGTTATTATTTCCAGCTTTATACTAAAAAAAATAATTTCCACTTAGCAATGCAAACTTATCATAAAATAAGACGCAATCCAAAGAAAGAAACAAAATGTAAAAACCTTGAAAAACCAAATTTGTAAAATTGAAACAATTAAAAAGACATCTACCTGCAGGAGGACACTCTGATAATTCTGAGTCTATGTTCAAGCATACATTGCACATTTCTTTAGTGCCTTTACTTAAGGAAACTTTTATTAGAGGAAATTGTTGCCAATTTGGACAAGAAAAATATATATATATATATATATACACACATATTTATTTATATTTATATACAGACATATATATATATATATATATATATATATATATATATATATATATATATATATATATATATATATATATATATATAATACATATATATATATATATATATATATATATATATATATATATATATATATATATATATATATATATATATATATATATATAAATATATAAATATATATATATATATATATATATATATATACATATATATATATATATATATATATATATATATATATATATATATATATATATATATTTATATATATATATATATATGTTTATATATGTATATATATATATATATATATATATATATATATATATATATATATATATATATATATATATATATATATATATATGTATATATATATATTTATATATAAAAACAATTTTTTTGAGAAAAACCTGCTCTCACCTCCTAAATGTGTTTTATCTAATACAAAAACACAAGGTTTAAAATTTTTTTGAATAAAAAATATTTTAAGGGGTCCCTCGAATATTTAATGGGACCCCAATATTTTCAAAAATATGTCAACCTGGTACTCAAATGAAGGGAAATTATATAAAAATTTCAAAAATAATATTCATTTTGAAAAAAATTGTTACTTTTGGTTTTATTACTAAAACTGAAAAAAATGCATTGATAATAAAGTTAAAATTTTTTCAAAATGAATTTAATTTTTGAAATTTTTATATAATTTTGCTTCATTTGAGTACCAGGTTAACATATTTTTGAAAAACTTTTTTTTTGAAAATATTAGGGACCCATTAAATATTTGAGGGTTTTGAGGGACCCCTTAAAACATTTTTTATTCAAAAAAATTTTAAACCTAGTGTTTTTGTATTAGATAAAACACATTTAGGGGATAGGAGCAGGTTTTTCTCAAAAAAGTTGTTTTAAGGGCCACCCTAATATATATATATATATATATATATATATATATATATATATATATATATATATATATATATATATATATATATATATATATATATATATATATATATATATATATATATATATATATATATATAACCTAAAAATACTAATAGACTAAAAGATTCTATTTATTTTATAATTTTGGCTCATTTATTCTTATTTTTGAAAATTAACATTTTGTCTAGAGGAAAATATGGTTATAATTAATAACACGTTTATAAAAACAATTTTAAAATTTTTGACTTAAAATCTTCAACCATAAAACATAAATATAAAATGCTATGACTATCATCAAAAAAATATAATTGTCTATAACTGTCTTGTATCAACATTGTGAACTAGAGCTGATATAACAAATCCATTATGTGTAGGCATGCAGACATAATTCCGCAAATTATCATGCTTGACACAAGGAGTAGAAATAGCACTTTTGCTTAAGAAAAATATGTCAATATACTTTGGTTGTACAAAATCAGTAAAATAATTGTCCGAAGAATGCTTCTTGAATTTAATGCAATGAAATTGATCACTAACAACTATTTTAACAAATACAACAATTGAGTTAGTTATAAAACAATTATCCTTATCAGAAACACTAATGTGGAAAGTGTTTTTTGGTGTTTGATGAAAATTATTCAGCTCGTCAAGTCTTTTGGCCACTTGTATCAATGGATTTCTTGTTCTACTGGTCATTTTTTTCAATTTTTGAAGATAATTTTCAAACTTAAATGCAGACAGATTATCCTGAACTTGTGACTTTGATACTGCCCTTTAGAAAATATAATATTTTCCGCATAACACCGAGACAAACAAGATGCATATAATCAAGCGGAAACATACTCACAAAACCAATTAACTCAACATCATGTAATAAACTTTTGTTGGTTTGGTGAGATCTATTATTATCATCTTTAAAAAAGTAAACATTTGTCCAAAAGGTCTAGTTTGTTCTTAAAACAACATTTTTTTACATGGTGGGAATAAGCAATGCAATTTTTTAAACTCCTTTCTACCATTGTACATCTTTTGCATGATGCACAACAAATGGTTCCATTCCTAAAATTAAAGCAAGTATTGGCCATATTTGGGTAAAATTTGATTTGAACAAAGGTATTCCATCAATATTAAAAGTTAAATAAAGAGAAGTTTCTTTGATTGATTTGGAAGAAATTTGTTTTTCAATTTGTGTTTTGAAATCCAATTAAATAGAGTCACCGTAACCTGCAATACTGATACTTGCAATACTTCTTTTTGTTTTTAATAATGTCCCAGAATTGAATGGAACACTTTACTTACACTCCAAAACAACTTTAATGCACCATTAATACATTGCTTTGTACATCTATTTCTATCAGCTAACCGCCTTTTCCTCCACAATGGTACTGAACTGAAGACATAAACAAGGTTTTAAGTTTTTAATTTTTTTTTTGCAAATTTTAAGTTTATTTATGAAACAAAACTAGCAGAAAAAATAAATACTTATAAAAAATACATACATAAAAAGCATATTAGAGCCTTAGAAATATCTATGATACAGGACAAAACAAACAGAAAATATAAAATAACTTGTCATCATTGCGTAAGTCACAAAAAAAGACAAAGAGAGTGAAAAGTCTATTTTTCTCAATATTATTCAATAGCCTTATAAGTTATAAGGTTATTGGGTCTTACTACTAGTAAGATTAATATTAAATTATTATTAATTAATATAAAATAATATTAATATTAGGCTACATGGATAAATGATAAGTTCTGCATAAAATATTATTGACTAGGAAGACCCAATTATGTTGTTTTGTCATTGTCTAGGAACATTATTGTCTAGTAATGTCTAGTAATACAAGACAATGTTATTACTAGACAAAACAATATAATTGGGTCTTCCTAGTTAATAATATTTCATGCAGAACTTATAATTTGTCTATGCAGCCTAATAAATTTAATATTAATTAAGTTGTAATATAACTCATTAAGTATTAAATAAGGTACATAGACAAATTCGCCAGTCTAAAATAATAAATAATACTATTATTAATAGGGTACTATTACTAATACGACTATTATTGATAGATAAAAAAAAGTATACCTTGTACTAGGGTTTGATCTTTTGCGTTAGGCTATATAAGAATTATCTGCCATAACGTATCTGCAATTTTGATTGATATAAATTGATAATCTAAGTGTTATAATAAAAAGTATTATAATCTAAGTTAGAGAATACTTATTTATAACATTTAGATATTATAATGTGCTGAGTTAAAATATTATATGTGACTTTTTGTTCCGTCAAAAATGCATTTCAACATTATAAGATATTATAAAGTCTGATCCTTTTTTTTCAATTATTATGAAACTACAATGAAAAATGATTATGTTATCAGTAAAGTTAAGTAAAAAAAAATTATAAAAATGAGTATATAAACTAAGTTAAAAACAGGGTTGCCACTATAATTTTAAAAGTATTTCCCTGAGTTTTCCTTAAGTAAAGTACATTTTTCCCTGATTTTAGTTTTTTAAAATCCCTGAGTTTTCCCTGAGTTTTCCAGATTTAATATATATATATATATATATATATATATATATATATATATATATATATATATATATATATATATATATATATATATATATATATATATATATATATATATATATATACATGTATATATATACATATATATAATTTAAATAGATTCTACTTTATCAATAAATTTTTTCTTTGCAATTTGAATCTAACTCTTTTGGTTCTTTTTCTGTTTTGTCGCATTTTCTTTTTAAAGCAGTTGCTTTTTTAAGCATTGTTAAATCATTATTTTAGTCAGCATCTTCAACAATTGAATAAAATCTTTGTTTAATGTACAACATGCTGTTATAAGTAAATTCTTTTTTTTTTCTACTTCTTTAATTTCTTCTAATATGATTACTATTTCTTTAAATTAGCTTGCTCTGCTAAACTGATTTGTTACTGTTGTCTGGCTGACTTTACTGATAACATTAATACATTTATGATATTAATAGTGTCAGTTTAAATGTTCTGAGAATTCATATGATCTTTTAAAATGCGATGAGAGACTATTGAGTTAGACTGAATATTTTCATTTAAAATTGTTTTGTTTATGCTGAAACCTCTTTCTACAAAAGCTTGACCATGACTAACGGTTAAAATCATTTTGATAATATAAGAAAGTTCTTTATGTTTGGCTATATCTAGTTGATGAAAATAGAAGATATCTTAACAAGTGGTTTTTTTATCAAAGCTAAGAAATTTTTTTATATTTATTTTCATATAATTTCATAAAAATATTGAATACTAAAGCATGACATTATCACTTTGCGTTGCAGATATAATTTTTAAACTGACAAGATAATGTAACAATCTTTTTAGTTTATTTTGATTAGATTCAGTTGTTAATGTTTTGAGATTGATTGGTTCGAAACAACTTGCATTTGCTATGATTGCAGAGTCTAGTGGGATGTGATTAAGTAAACTTTCCATGGTTTTTGTGAGAATTAAAACACATTCATTTCTAAACTGATTTATGTCATTAAGAGTTATATTATCTTTAACAAGGAGTTCTTTAATTGAAACTTCAGCTGCAAAACCAATAATAACATCTTTCCTCGGTAGCAAATTTTCTTTTTTATAGAGATCTATCTTTTTTAATTCTCTGCCTTTTTTGCAGCTTTGAATTACTGAAGGTTTAATAAATAGAGCTAAAATATTTGTTATTAATTCTCTAAGATCAGTGTACATGTATGGAATCATTAGTTGATAGAGTATCAAGTAGGTTTTAAACAAGCTGGCAACATAACTAAAAAATTGTAACTTTGAAACTGTCAGAAAGACAGTTTCTAAGTTACATATATTTATATATATATATATATATATATATATATATTTATATATATTTATATATATATATATATATATATATATATATATATATATATATATATATATATATATATATATATATATATATATATATATATATATATAT